TCCAAAATTTGAAGAGCACGACGTAGTGACAATGGCGACATGTAGTTTGGTTGCTGAATCGGTGTGGAAAGACATCGAGTCGACTCGTTCAGGTCCTTCTCTCTTTTCGATTCAACAATCATATTTTTTTTCACCTTTCAGATATTGATTTTTCCCATTTTGCTGTGAACTGGTGGCACTGATGACGATGAATTGCAACCCACAGTGACCGATGATCAGCTCTCAATGTCAGAATATATGATGTTCTCTCAATTCAATTTTATATATGACATTCATCTGTATATGTGTGTGTGTGTGGATTGCGGACTAATTGATGCGTTGAACACAGCTTGCATTTTTTGTTTGGTAAAAACTTGGAAAGGGCGACGAGAATAGTGGATCAAAGAGGTGTTAAGAGGATACTTGGTGAGCCCAGTGGGCGGACTATCTTTCAGGTTGATTGTTTTTCTTCAATGTATCTACACTTTTGCTTTTTCTTTTTGCCAAAATGTTTTAATCATCTCGCCATTACCATTTGTTTAGTGTCCACCCAAAAGATTCGAACAGTGATGAAACATCAAAATTTCGTGTTTTTTTGGAATGTTTGGGAATCAACATTCCTATTTTTGTTCAACGTATGTGAAATGTTTTTGTTTCCAAACTAATTGAGAAAACCATGCATTGAAAAGAAATTTTTGACCCTTGCCCTTGATCATTTATGTAAATTATGCACAGAAACAATGTTTGTTATAATTAAGAATTTTTCATGTTCGTCTGCATTTAGTTTTTGCCATAATACCTTCAAATGATTCAAAAGAAGCAATAATGATTGTTTTTTTTATTTACTTGCACTTTTTAGGTGGTGGGAGAATCTAGGAGGAAGGAGGAATATTTTTGCTTTCCTGAACACTACTGTGCTTGTTATTCCTTCTTCTATGACATAGTAAACAGAGGAGAACAGCTTTGTGTGAGCTCTGCTTTTCTGCTTATGCATTTGCTTGATATTAGTATGATTTCATTAAGGGTCCTTAATTGTCCTTTGCTTCCTCCATATTACTGCATTCTCGTCCAGTGTAAGCATCAAGTTGCTGCAAGACTTGCTGTGTCGGTTGGAGTATGTGTTGATGTTAAGGTGTCTGATGAGGAGCTAGCATTACTGCTTTCTAAACTCTAGCACCTTGTGGCAGAAGCTATGGTTTGGATTTGGAATTGAAGGTAAATATATGAGTAGATTGCATCTGAATGGGCTTATTGATGTGTTACATTTTATGATAGAGTGAAGGACCTGCTTTTGCATTCTAGATTAGTTTTGTAGTGTATATTTGAGTTTTATAGTTAAGAATATTTTGCAGGTTAATTGATGGGGTTAGTTCCGAGCTTTATGTGCATCTATTCTTCAATCATTATAACTTGGCACCAACACTCTTGAGATTTTCCTTTTTCTTTTATTGGAAATCAGTTTCGCCCTAGAGAGAAAACAAAGTTTATGCAAGGGATGATATGATGGTGTATTGACATTAGGTTTTTCTATGTAAACAGTCTGTTCTGTTTGAGATTGTATTTGACAGGAGATCAAGGACAATTGCACCCGAGGCTCAACTCTGAATTGGGCATCGATAATAAGCTTAGAGGCATCTCATAAGCAGGACTTCTATAAGGTGTCTAGGCTTTTCCTAACACCTTATCTGCTTTAACAAGTATTCTAGCTCCTAGCCGGAGTCCCAAAAGACCTAGGCCTTCTACTCTCCTGGGCACCAGCTGTTTGTGACTGCTCAAAATAGGTGTTTGCTACATTATTTGCAACTACATTGAAACTATAAATTCTTGAAAAACTGGTCCAGAGGGTCTTATTCTTTAGATTTCATTACATCTATTGAGACTGGGAGGTAAGACACTTAACCTTCAGTTAATAGTAAGGCCTAGGGAGTTTTGAACGAGGTAGACTTTAAATGAATCCTTATAGGATTCACACAGACCATAGATTCAAACACCAAATGCTAGATACTCAAAGCAATTACATGACAAAAGATGTGCACATTTTAAAAAGAATATTTAATTATGTGGATTGTGGCTCTCAATCTTTCTAGAAAACAGCCTCTAAGCACCGAGTCCATCTTCTCCCATTCTGGACTATTTACTAGTTCAGACTACTCAAATTTATTATAATGGCACCCTTTCATAGAAGTCAGCATAACTTGTTTCCCATGATATACATCTACTCTCAATATGATGAGGTGATAGATTCATTTATGGCCTTCAACTCTCTTTACAATTCATAGCTTAGCTAATACCTTTGGTTCTAATGCCCATATATTGCACAACACTATGTTGCCTTCTTCACTTAGATCTATGCTTCCCCGGTTCAAATCTTGAAATCTATTTGCACATGAGATCAATTAAGGTGCAATGATATATACTTCACATCACAATTAGGAAATGAAGTAAATTTGGACCTCAACGGACCTCAAAACCAACAGATGAACAAACAAGACACCAATCAATGGTAATGCTCATAATCTAATTCGACCATTACAGGAAACAGCAAAAGCCAAAAAATACAGTGATTCAGAAAGCCAAAGCTTCCTTCCAAAATTATTCCCTTTCTTTTAAGGACACAACATAATGAAGAGAACAAACTTATTCAAGATATTAACTCACCCCAAGACCACCCAGAAAGATATCGAACTATGGGACAATCTTGTAAGCTTTGACCTTATCTATCCAAGAAAGGAATGCGTTTTTTGTGTTCCTGAACCCCACAAATCCATGCTCCTTACTCTTGTTCATAGTATCCAACATGCACCCACCACCAAGCATCATATCAACAAACCACCAAACTCCAACATCTTCCAATTTTGTAGGCAACAAACCCTTCTCTCTCACAATCTCTTCCCACACTGACTCCTTACCCTTCATCATCTCCACCAAACTCAATTTCTCTCCCTCCTCAAATTCAGCACATTCCACCTCAAACTGCTCAGCCAACACCTTCCAAAAATGCTTCCACTTGAACACATCTCCATTGCTAATATTAAAGGCCTCATTCTTCGCATAGGGATCAACCGCTGCCCATATCTCATGCTCGGCGATCAAGTCTGCGTCTGAGCAATCCGAATAGTCATCCCACGCCGCCTTACAACCGGGAAACCTCAGAGGAACACCCTGATGCTTACATATAGCAGCATAAACACAAAGGGTCCCAACAATATTCATCAAACTATATGGCGAAAACCCAAATATCGTTCCTGGCCTATGAACAGACCATGTTAGTCCTTCCTTCTTTTCCACCTCCTCAAACAAAATATCCTCAAGCGTGTAGTAAAAATTTGGAGCATCAAGCCTAGGTAAATCCTCGTGAAACGGAGGATCATGGGCAATTTTCCCGTACAATTCAAAAGGGCCCAAGTAGTGTTTTCTTCCGGTTTGAAGACAGATATGCTGCAAATTTGGGGCACTGGGTATGATTGATTGGAGAACATTTCTAAACAATTTTCCATTGATTTCACAATTTTCGGCTTCGGTGGATCTACTAGCCCATGTGACGTAGAAAACATGGGTAACATCGTTGAGATTTGAGAGCTTCGATTGGGTGTCTTCTGGGTCTGAGATATCGCATTGGATGTATTCGACTGGGTGGTCTGCGTTCCAGGAGGGCCTTGGCCGGCGAGCGACGCCATAGACCTTCCATGGGCCGCCGGGGGTGTCTGCGAGTGGGAGGATCTCGGCGAGGCTGTTTCCAACGATGCCGGTGACGCCGATGATTAGGGCCACGCTTTGGTACTTTTGTGGTGCATCGTCTTCTTCGAATTTTTTCTGCAAATTGGTGATTGGGATATATATTTTAGCTTCAGATGTTGGAATATAAGAAGAATAATTCAGTGTGTGTGTGTGTGTGTAAATCTAGAGAGAGAGAGAGAGAGGGGGCAGGAATTGCTTGCCTTCGCAGCGCCGATAGCTCCAGCCCACCACCAGCTCATTTTACGTGTGAGTGAGAACTGAGAAGTGTTAGAGAGGGAAGGAGGGAGGGAGGGAGGGAGGGAGAGAGAGAGAGAGAATTATTGTGAAGGTAGGTACGCCAGGAGGAGGGAGGGGGATGGATTTATAATTTATTGGGTGGGAGGAGGGGTGGTGCATGGACACGTGGAATGGTCCTCCCTCTCTCGTGTTTGTTTCATGAAATGCTGCTGCTTTTCGAAGTAGCCCACAAGTTTAGATTATCTCATCAGAGCCTTGTTGTTGTGTAATCCCTTATCTAATTCCGTAATGACAGAATACATAAGGACCGGATTTTCTTTCTAATAATAGGTTATTGATCACCATTTAAATATAATACCCAATAGACGTCTACCGTAATCTATTATTGTTACAAAAATAATAATTCTGAAGTATAGCTGTTTTTTCTTTGTGTTTTCTACGTCACTGCTGAGATTATTTGTGATTGGACAGAATCAACACTGCACGTTAATTTCGGACCACTTTTGTACCTTCACGTAGTTTCAATGGTGGATAGACGTCCACGTGGACAACTCGATGATTCCAGATAAATCTATTTGGTTACGGCACCTCCGCGACTCCCATTGGAGGATCTTCAAATTGATTGAATAAATTAATAAATAAACTCATTACTCCCAGAGTCAATAGAAATATACTACATAACTGCATGTGCACTACATAACTACATCTGGTACCAGAAATATATCAAATAAAGGCACAAACATATCATAGGACGAAGCTACTAAGTTTTTTTTCTTTTTTTTTTTTGTTTGGGGAGGGTATACTACCCAATTGAGACCCCCACCAGAAGGTCCCCAAGTTCAGTAGGAGATCAATTAAATTCTATAGAATTAATGAAACCAATAATTGAAAATGATTTTTACTTGAACAATTATAATTTCTTATTTTAAAATTATAATTTTACCCATAAAAAATGATAACTTTAGAATTTTCATCTTCTCATAATAGCCACATTCTTCGAGGAGGATTGCCACCCAGAAAAATGAAGAAATATATACTACAAACCTCAGAAAATGAAATTCTAAAACACAATACGAACCCTAATCCACACTTGCTCACTGCTACTCCGGCTTCTTGGTTGATTTCCCATACATATGTTAGTTTGTAATGAAACAAGAATATGTATTTCTTATGAACAGGTCAGAGTTTAGATAATCCTAGCGCCACGGCAGAAGCACAGTCAAATAAACTTTGAAACGCAAGGATTTAGCACATATAAGTCATGAAAAATCAATATACGAACAAACCACACACTAAGCAACACCAGACCATGTTCATGACAACAACCATACACTTAAAGCATCCTTCCACCAACAGGAGAAGCTTCTCTATTGGAACCTATTTACCAGACGAGGAAGCGAAAAATAAAGAAAAGCATAAGCTACCTCATTCGTGCTCCACCCTTTACTGCTGCCATCTTCAGTGGATGCCAATCATTTATCCACTATAACTGAGCAACCTTACACAAACATGACAGTTATTTGGTAATGCTTTAAAAATAAATGTGCATAGAGCATCAAATATGACCAACCTTTCTACAAAAAGAAATAAACACTGATGAAAAACAATAAGCTGTAATTTGCTCCTATTGGATGCTAAATTGGTCATTGCACATACCTTATCCTCAGCTTTCCCAGCTATTTTCCAAGTGAGTTACAAAAGGTCTGATGCCCAGCTTTACAGGGTGTCCAAAGCATATAGCTCAGGGCCCTCATATACACAAGTTCATGAATCAGCTGCTATAGAAATCCACATAGAAAAAGAATAATATACAACAATATCACACTGTTCTTGCTGCTTTCGTGATATAATACCACCAGAAGCAGGGAAAGAACAGGACGAATACAAGATTCTTGGGACAGACACCATTCCAGTGGCCCGGAACCCATTACCAGAAGACGATCTTCTGCAGTCACTTACTTGTCAATCTTTCTGACAATCTACATTCTTCCTCCTTAGATACATGGGGTTCAAGCTTACGCAGGTTATTAACAAACATTATTGCTTCATCTCTCCTATCAAGCTTACAATACCAATCCAAGATGCAGTTGTATGTGCTCTCATTTGGTTTACAGCCATGCTTGGTCATGTATCGAACCAAATCAATGGCATCCACAAACATTCCATTGGCTGCATAACTTGCAACAAAGGTGTTATATGTGATCACATCTGGAACAAGCCCAGATTCCGTCATTTCCTTGAAGACCCGTGAGGCCTCTCTCATCTGACCATTTCTACAATATGCATATATCACGGTGTTATAAGAAATAGCATCTGGCTTGATTCCTTTTGCCAAAAGATCTCTCAGTATTTCTTCAGATTTCTCAAAATTTCCAGATCGGCTGTACATATACATCAAACTATTGTACGTGGTCAAGCTAGGAGTGAACCCCATCTGATTCACGAAGTTTATTATCTCATTTGCCTTGGTAATCATTTGCCTTCGACCATAAATGGAAACCATGGCATTGAGAGTAGTTATGTCAGGCGACAAATCTTTTCTTCTCAACTCCAGGAAAGCTTGTTCTGTTTCCATTAACAGGTCACTTTTACTGTAGACTAAAACAAGGGTCTTCAAAAGCACAGCATGGGGTTCGATAATTCCAGAATATATATCTTGTGCAAGAGCATGTATCCGTTCAATTTCCTTCCCATTAGCATAAGCATGAAGCAAACTACAGTAAGTCAGCTGATTAGGTTTACATCGACCATCCTCCATTTCAGCGAGCACTTTCTCAGACTGTTCCCAAAGCCCTCCCCGCGCCAATGCTGCTAAAACAGTATTGTAGGTGGATAGGTCTGGAGAGACCCCTGCTTCCAACATTCTCTTATAAACAGCCATTGCTTGGTCAAAAGACCCACAGCGGCTATAAGCACTGATCAAGGTATTGAAAGTGTCCCTCTCAGCTACAAACCCTGCTCGCTTCATTTCCTTGAACACTCCAGACACTTCAGAATCCATCCCATTCTGCCCAAAGACTGCCAGAAGAGTATTCCAAGTGACAATATCTGGGGTACATCCACTGCCCTTGATCTCTTCAAAAACCTTCATCATTTCCGTAAATTTTCCCCTGTTGCCATGCATCTTAATAAGAGCGTTAAAGGTACATATATTTGGATTACAACCTGCACTTCTCATCTCGTCAAAAACCCTCACTGCAGACTCATCCTTCCCAGCCTTCTCAAATCCTGACAACAGAGTTGTATAAGTAAACACATCTGGCTTTATCCCTTTTTTCACCATTTCGACTTTTAACTCCACTGCTTCATTTAACAAACCATCTTTAGCATAAGCTGATATTAGCGAATTGTAAGTCACATTGCTAGGAGAAAACCCATTAACATCCATCCCCCTCAAAACCTCCATGGCTTCCTTAGGCCGCCGAGACTTACCATAGACATCCAACAATGCATTATAAGTAACCTTATCAGGCTCAAATCCTGCTAATTTCATCTCCTCAAATATATCTTTAGCTTCTTCATGCAATGATCCACGCCGACAACAACTTATAAGGGTATTATATGTATATGCATCAGGGGCAACTCCAGAGCTCTTCATACCATCAAACACCGAAATAATTTTATTCCATGGCATACCCATTTTCCCATACACATTCAAAATCACATTGTATGTAATTAAAGTAGGTTTGCAACCCTCTTCCTCCATTTTTTTGAAAACCAAGACAGCCTCTCTATACCTCCCATTACTAGCACAAGCAGTTATCAAAGAAGTGTAAGCATAAACATCAATACCAAAGCCATCTTTATGCAAATTGTGAAGCAAAGAAGATGCAGATGAAACCCGGCCCTCTTTGCCAAGCATGCTTATGATGACAGCAACAACAGACCCATTTAACAAAAGTTCCGAATCGTTCTGATTCTTAACCCATTCAAACGCACTTAATGCCAAGTCACATTTCTTATAATACCCTAAACCCTTAATAATTCCTAAAATATCAAAACGCAAAGACTCTACACACAATTCTTCTTTTTCTTGTTGGTGTGAATTGCATAATTCAAGCAGTGTTTCATTAACTTTGGCGATATCAAATTCTGGGTTCAGAAGGGTTTGGAGGGTTCGCTCACCTAGTGGGGAGAGGCGGTAGTGAGACCACGGCTTGCCCTTGTTGGTGTCGCGGTGTCTGCCAATACGACGTCGTGTTCTGAGGATGGCGGTGGTCAAATTTGGGGATTGGAAAGGTTGGGTTTGTGTGGAATTTTTTGTAGGGTTCTGGGGTTGGATGAGGTCTTGCAGGAGAGGGGTTAAGGGTGGTGGTGCTTGTAGTTGCGGAGGAGGTAAGGTGGGTTGTTTGGTATGGGGTTGTTGTTCTTGAAAGAAGGGTTTCGTGTGCGGTGGATTTGGTAGTAGAAGAGGGAGCGCTAGCTTCTCTGCCATGGGGGAAAGAGTTTTGCTTACAGGCTTGTACTGGAGTGAACTCCTGTTCGATTCTTAAGCAGCGCGGCGCCAAAGACCAACTTGCTTGAGAAAAATCTGTTTTATCTCTTTATTAGAACGAGCGTAATTTACCCCCCAAAAAAGTGTCATATTCCAGTCAAGGGTGTTACTGTAATTTTCTCATTCAAATTAAGAATGAAAATATAAGAATTTTACGTTGTACCCTAAAGAATTTTTATTTTATCTTCAAAGATTAAAATTTTCATATTTGACCATCAATATATTAAAAGTGTCACAATATTGTTTTTTTATTAATTTTTGTTACTCATTCCATCAACGTCAATGAGTGAGTTTTTGATGAAATAAACAAAGAAAAATAATGGAAAGACTACGTTAAAGATACAATGTAAAAAAGCTCATATTTGAAAGTGCAAAATAAAAAAAATAAAAAAACTTTAATCTTTCAAAATTCTAAGTGGAGATTCCCCTAATATTTTTCCTTAATCTTTTGTAGGGTAAGCTATTGTAATTCACATTTTAGTTTTTTGATCTTGGTCTTTTTCACTTTCTGGAAAGTCGGTATGACTTAGATAGAAAGGTAAAAAATTAATGTTTGCCATTGTAAAGGAGATACTATAATTCCGATGAAAGATAATATTAGCATCACACTTTAGTTGAGAAGACTAAAAAACAAAGTGTAGACGAATTTCGAACTAAAGAAAAAAAAAATTCGATTTCCACTTATATTTGCTTGGCAAGTTTAGGAGAAAAGAAGATAACATAATGACCCATTTACTCTATTTTATTTATTTTTTGATAAATTCATTTACTCTATTTGTTTTGGCTTTTATAAGGATAGAAAAGAAACAAATGCCTATTTTTATTACTTTGAAGAACAAAATGGAAAATCACTTTAATAAAAGATATAGACAAATACAACAATTAATCACGAGAAACTCTATGATATGGGAAAAAAAATAAAAAAATTGATATTGTACTGACGATTATCACTTTTTATGATAAAATTATAACTCGAAAAAAGAGAAGTTACGACCACTCAAGGGCCGATCACAGACAATCCTAATTGACCATGAACTTTCAATATCAATTCCAATTTTTTTTTATAGATCATACCTTTAAAGTAATAATTTACACCTCAAAAAAATTATAACTTAACATTAAAAAGTTATAATTTTCGGTACAATACTGAACGATACCGTAACCTATCTCATCAATCACAAATACCTCTTTTTTCTCTTCAAATCTTTCCACTTTTAGGCAGAAAAGAAAAATGGGTCAAAATGCCCCTAAATCCATTCATTTCTCTCCTTTTTATCGTTTGTTATAAACTTCAAGTAATGATCTAACCTCCTTTTCATCCAACAACCAACTTGAGGCATGGAAAGTGATGGTCTCCAGAAGAACAATTGAACACCCAAAAGATAAGCTTTTGAGAGCCTCCTCAGATCCATACTACACCATATATTTGCAATGGAAGTCATGGAAGAGGAGAGAGCAATTGCACCCTACCCACAATCAAGATTTTTGCTACCTAATTGACACTAAGCAAGGAAAAGACACAAAACCAGCAGATATGAAGGACCTTCATTTTGCTGCAGGGCCAAAGAAGGGGGTATGTAATTGCAATATGTATTTTTAAGAACCTGTGCAAAAGGTGTTGTGTGTGCATCTGCATAAAAAAAATTAAAAATATCAAGAACATAATATGAGCATATTTGATTCCACAAAATTTAAGATGATCAACAAACAAAACATAACAGTCACCACAAGTGTTCCGCAGGGAGGCCTACACATACTGAGCCAACAACAACATTACTCATCAAAACTAAGATAGAGCAATGCTCATATGTAGGCATATAGCAGCACTATTGTTTCCTAAGAGTAATATCACATACGAAACCATAGCCACATTTACAAATAACAAACTCAAGGGATTACTAGTAAAACCTGAACCCATTCTCCTGCAAACTGGCTCACTTTAGAAAGTGGGGGTTAATCAACCCTGCAATCTCAAGAAACCCAACACGATCCTTCCCCCCAAATATTTTCTTCAGTTCCACATCGCAGACTATGACCTTCTTGTTTTCTGGGTCCTAAAAAGGAAAGAAATTAACAAGTCAGATTTTTCTGCAGCTGAATGCATAGAAGTAGTCAGATTTGTTCTGCTGCTAAATGCATAGAAGTAGAACCACATATTACATCATCTCCGTCTTGATACAAATGGAATCAAGCAACACATTCATGCAAACACTCGTAGAAGTAAGATGATGTGTCGCTAGATTGCTTCACCTTGAAACTTGATTGGATCATTTTTACTAGAAATACTTTCAAACCTTCAAGAAAACTTTCCAAAAAAGTCGAGAATGTTTTCAAAAATTACATTTTTAACAAAGGCGTGACCTTCAAATATGGCCATTTATATTCAAAGATAGCAAAATGTTACTGAAATGGAAGGTAAGTAAAAGACAAGTTTATAGCAACAGCACATAGTCAGTGCAGCCACGTGGGAAGAGTATCTCCATGTACTCCCCTTCTTCTAGCACTCGACCCTTCTTCCTCAAGAAAGTGAAATTAACTTGTACGGGCATTTAGCTAGCTTCATCTGTAATAATGGAGTTAAATTACCAATACCAAACCAAATCTAATATTACAAATATATATAAAGAGAGCAACATGAGTGGCTCTCCATTAAGCAGTTGGCCTATTCTAATTGATGCGGGCTATTCGTTCCACGCTTTATACCAGTACTGTTACTGATCAGTTCAAAAGAGTGAATACTTCAAACTACAATCCTGCAAGAGCAGAGAACAACCACCTTACTCAATAAAGAAGTGACTTTGAGTATCATATAATTAGATACTTGTGCATCTTCATATGTATGGTCACGACTTAGTTCATCAATACCAATACAGCCTTACCTGGACTTTAGAAAGACCAAAGAGGACAAATAATATCGTATAAACCCATGCCAAAACCTTTAATAAAAATCAGACCTACATTTGATCCTTACCAACACAACATTTTTCACATATAACAATCCCAAGTTCAATTCAGTAAAGTAAGACAGCGGTATGAGCATGTTTCAAACGCACATCCTGTTTACCCAAAATAACATTATTCATATATAAACGATAAATTCATTCTGACAAAAAAAAAAACCCCCAAAATAGGACATAAGCAAATCTAAAAACTCAACTGAACAACCAACAATGCTACATCCACCAAAGCTTTTACAAAATTTTGAATCCCAAATCAATGTGAATATAAGATCAGTAAGTCCCACAAACTCTCACCAATTATCCAATGACTGATTGACTAACAATGTGCGACATCATTTGGAGTCCGATATTTAGTAAAAGTTTTGGTGAAAACAAAATTTCTCTAGAACAACACTAGGTACATTAATAACAAACCCACAATTCATCTTGCACCTATCTCAAGCATACAACACCAGATATCCCAATTCCGTCAATTAATCGGAGAATGACACATAAACCATCTAAAAACGCATACCAACTCTAAGCACACTTTAGATTAAAAAAAAAGAGTTAGGGCTTCAAAAAAATAATACAAAACATGAAGTTGTAGGAAAAATAATCGTGTACTCTATGGATAGATCATACCTGAAGGTTGTGCTGTTTGATGTGAGCCCAAATCTGCTTGAGGGCTTGGGGGCGAGGAATCTCGGAAACGCCTCCGAGGAACGCTCGCATTTCCGGCGAGACTCGGCGTGGCTTCATGATACCTCTCGGCTCGCGCTTGGTGGTCTCTGACGCCGGCTTGGACGCGGTGGCCAGGGTTACAAAGCACACTGAGCGCAGGTTAACACGAGATGGATTAACAACAGGAGCAACAAGCCTGAGCGAAGATGAGTTGACCAATGACGCCGTTTCTCCGGCGAATGCGCCGGAGAAAACCCCCAAAGACATCGCCATTTGCCGACTTTCAATCTCTCTCTTTCTAAATCTCTACCTTCTCTCTCTCTCTAAAAATTGGCATACAGAGTGAAGTTCTGTGTGAGTGTGAACAGTCAGCAGATCATAAAAGACACTGTCCCGCCTGCGGCCTCACCGCCCGAATTGTCATCTATTCCGAAAACACCATTCGATATTTCGTATAATTCAATGGGCCAAGCCCAAGTTACTGGAATCTAGGACACTAACCCAAACATTTGAGCCCAAACCCAAGACACTGGAATCATAGTTCCGAGCCCTTGGCAGGCCTGTTAGTGAGTAATGTGTAGCGATGACAGTCGACCGAAAAAAAATAGGTATTTGTCCAAATTTATTCTGTTTGGACCGAGAATTGACTATACGTATTGGACGGTAAACGTATACGGTGGTACTCGTATAAACCCACACGATAATGAACTGACACTTACCTCCGCCCCATCCCCTCTCCACCCACGCTAACTCGTGATATATATATATATATACTAGAAATAACTCGTGCCTGAAGGCACAATGTAGTTCAAAAAACATCGAGTATTGAATTTGGATACAAAATAATCAAACACTGAACTCAGACGTGAGAAAGAAAAGTTAAAAAGAGAGATGGGACTGAATAGAGAGGAAAGAACGACAGAGTAATAAGTTTTTAAACACGAAATAATCAAACAATGAATGAATTTAGTGAAATAAAAAAAGTTCAAAATGTGGATATTCTGTAAAAAAATTTCAATTTTTTGACAGAGTATCGTCTGAAAATATGATACCACAAATATATCAACATGTTTACAAAATTTATATATTTCATAATCATAATCAAACCACCATTCTTCGTACACACACAACTATGTATCAATTACCACAACACCATTCTTCTTACACATCAAGCACTAAATTTGAGTACGAAATAATCAAGCACTGAACTCGGACGTATACTAAGCTGAAAGTCTAAACTGTTCCCATAATCTGTACCTAAAATTGTGTAATTCAAAAAAATAAAACAAACATTGTTCTTGAAAACGAAACAATCAAACACTTAACATAGACATGTTATAAATAAACAAACACTGAATATTAATGTGCATAAAGAGCCTCAAGAGAATAGCTAAAATTAGAACTCATTGTCTTTTAACAATGAGTCTCCCGTCCATTCCATTCAAGCCGGAAGCTATTAAAAAATCTAACTCACCCATTCCAATATAAATTCCTTCATTCCATCAATGCTAGTAGTGGAAATGATCGCCTCTTGACAACAAAAATCATATTGTGGTAGCATCGTACAAAAGATGATTAAGTACTTATGATGCATGTGATATAGTTACCATCAAACCAGCCTTAACATTTTCCACCTGGACCCAAATAACAAAATAAAAGTCATTACCATGTAAATCAGCAAATTCAATTTTTCATTGCTTTCAAGAAGTCACTGAGCCAGTGTAGTCCTCAAACATCATCATATAACCCACTAAAAGAACAAAAATTTAGTCGTAGTTTATATTGTGGTGCAAATGCTCCCACTTCTGCAAGTGTAGTCCTCAAATATCATCATACAAACACTGAAAGAACAAAAATTTAGTCATAGTTTTGCCACACTCAACGTACAAAAAACTTACTTTATATTCAAAAATTATACTCAGCGAACTTTAATCCCAAAAAACAAATGTACACATAGAATCCACCCACTGCGAGGAGCACACAATGTCGAATGTTACTGCACTTTAACCAAAAAAATGATAAAGAAGAGCAAAAGAAAAAAAATAAGAAATCCTTCTTGATGTTGGACAGGAGAAATAGAAAATTATCATATGATGTTGGTGGCAATGTGTCCATAGCTCTTTCTGATACGAATTCAGTTCATAAACTAACAAAGAAATCAAAATCTAGCAAAACCAAACATATAAAGAAATCAGATGAAAAACTCTTAAATGCAATATAAGTAGTAAAAACTTCCACTATAACTAAGTACACCACATCAAAATATACCAATACGAATAGCAACAAAACAAACAATGTTATTACCTTTTAGTTTTTTTTTTTTTCCCAATGAAGATTGGCAGATTGCCATGAAAGTATCATTTTTCCAGCATAGGCTACACTGTATTAGAAGACTTGTACTATGAAGTTAGAATGCTTTTGAGCGACTATCTAACAATAATAATTTCAGTTTCTTTTGTAATAAACAAAGCAATTCCAATGAAGGCATCCATGATCCCAAAAAAAACAACAAAGACTTCCACTTTGAAGCGACCCAAGTTATAGCTGAACTTAGACAGTAACCATCAATGATAGCATATTAGCATGTTCTTCTATCGAAAATATGATTGTGAATCTTGCTTTGACATAATTGATCAGTAATGGGAGAGAAAGACGTCTAGAGATAACACAAACGGTTTAGGGAGGCACAACCTTAATATTTTGGTAATGATACAACCTAAATGAGTTGAGTAATAATTAAACGTAACTCAATGAGTAATAATGAAAAAACTGAAGTTTTGGTCCTCAATTGCTCCCAAACAAAAGAAAAAGTCAAAATAAACATAAAAAGGTTAAAAATTGAACAAAGAAAAGCTTATTAATTAAAATCCTATTAAAGAACCACAATTTCTATTAGAGTTTTACCTTCACAATGTCTACACACAGAACTGCTTCTAGTGTTCCTTCTTTCTTTGGGGCTGTTTCTAATTTGCTAACCTTTGCATCCAGTAAACCTAGAGCACATATATACGTTTGTAGAAACTGGAAGAAAAAAAAAATCAGAGCAAGTAAACGTTAGACCAAATTGAAGATTCGAACATTGAAGAATAAAAATGAAAAAAATAACATTCAAGAACCAAAAAAAAAAAAAATTGAAATTTCACAAACTCTATTTAACACCCAAATTAAACGCCCAAGTGTATGTGTTGAGTTGTGGGTTCGCTAAGAAATGTTCTTTAGATACCATCTCAACAATTATGAGATGTCTTTGGATACCATCTCATAAAATTACATTAGACCAATGTACATACTTTTTGGTGTCTGCATATTTAATTTCCTTAGAGTGAGAAAGAACCATTGGACACACACACACATACATACGTATCTCATAAATAAGTAGAATGGACAAACAAATTATCCCATGAAGGTTCACCTAGTTGTCAATCAATAAACATTTCAAAAACCAAATCGAAGAAATAAACACACAACCATGTCCCTTCAAGGAAACTCCATAGAAACTACCTCCACTCCCACCAACCAAAACCACAACAGAAGGACAAAAAACATAAAAGAAAAGGCAAAGCATAAAAGTTTTCAACCCGTAAGCAAAGGACAAATATCATTGTGCATTATATATGCACTGTATATTAAAAGAATTATTGAGAGAATTTGCTAAGAGAATTACTGTAAAACTGATAACATCCCTTTACTGGACCACTTAGGCTCTGTTTGGTACTGCTATTTTTTTTTTCCAAGTAGTTATTTCTAAACTAAAGCAAGTATCATTAAGTTTAAGCTCTTCGATTTTCCACAAAACGTAGACCAAAAAAAAGAGAACAATACCATGAACTCGAATTAGAGAGAACAGTTATGTCAGAACACAAATGTTTCAAAAAAAAAGAGGAAAAGTCACGTGTTATTTTGATGAATGGGTTGTAGGAAAAAAAAATGGTCTAGCAAAATGGGTTATACTGGAATTTCAAAATGAGTTTAATCAAACACAAAACATCACAAAACCAGCCTCCTCTATACCAGTGAAACTCAAAACTCACAAAAAAATATACATCAAATTGGGGAATAGAAGAACAAAACCCCAAAATTGAATAGAACGCAATGCCTGTACAATGACTGGAACTGAAAAGTAAAACAACCTTTGATACAACCGAAAAGGACAAAAAAAAGTGAGTTAAACCAGCTCATAGTTTAAATTTTATCCTATCCAATTACATATTCACTTCCACATTACAACAAACACACAACGTCGGTTAATTACTCTAAGAAGCTGCATCATAAAATGACCGTTATTTTTCAACTACAAATACACCCAAAGAAAATAAGAATAACAACTATCAAGCATCAAGCATTAAGCATTCAAGAGGCTTCTTGAAAAAAAATTCAAAAAAATAAATAAGCTCTTCATATTAGGTTCAATATTTTAAAGCCATTTCAATTCAAGCAAAAAAAAACTGTAAATACATATCCAATTCATACAAAACTTGCTCCTGACCGTGGCAAAGTCCATTGGATGTTCAATCACATCCTGATAAATCAAGAAGCTACAACACAACAAACAAAATTATAAACTCCAATTCATGCGACACCATAACGTATGAATGAAACATGAATGAAACAGAGTCGAACCCCTGACCCCGCCCAACCTTTTTGGATGTTATGCTAGCACTCTGCCACAGCTAGTAGTACAACATCTTTGTTCTTTCAATAAAAATATGTTTTAAAGTTAAAAATGTTGTAGATCATCTATCTTTTCTCGTCTTCCTCCTCCCTTTACACACACTAAGAACACTTTAACCTAACACTCACAATTGACAAAGTATAGAACTTTCACATAGAGAAGTCACCATCTTAAAGCCAAATGAACACTTTAAAATTTGTATTCTATCACATCATATAAGTTCAGGGTCAAATAATAAACTTATGTAATTCTATAAGGGAAACATCATAGCAACAAACCCAATGGTCAAACAAATCATATCAACTAAAAATAATATCTGTGGAAAGAAATCAATCAAAAATAATTTGCATGGAGTTTAAACTAATTCAATTAAAAAGGCTGCCACAATAAACAATTTCAAGAAAATAAACACAAACAAAATGCTCATGATCAACTGGAAAAATGCTTACAAATGAGTCTTTCCTGCCATAACCAAACCAAATCAATTGAACACTGAAAAAATGCTCTAACCAAAAAGGTAACAAAAGTCTTCTTATCAGGCAAGGGAAGACCAGATTAACAGAAGTCACCAAACCGTACCTGGAACACAGTCGACCCCTTTTGGCTCAACCTTTCGCTGTCTAACCTGTCAAGATCAACATGAACCTTAAAACCTCAGCATCCTAAGCCCGACACACAAAAGAACAATCACATATGCACACTGAAATAAC